CGATCACATTGACAGCTGCTGCAGCTTGAATGCCACCAATACGGCTGCTGTCAGCTGTTAGCTTTTCTAATTGATGTGCTTTTAATTGTGTCAAATCGACGGCAAGCGCACGAAACGAAACGGCATCGAACACGAACAACAATTTTCTATGTGCAATTGACACTTCATTGACAGGTCGTGTACTACAAATGAGCGAACGTTTAACTCTCGTCGTGATAACTGTGTACCTACAAATTCAAATGCGAGTGATATGCAAAGTTGTTGTGCAATTTCGTTGTTGTACCATGGGGGCATACAAGTTGTATTTGAAGGGCAGAATGTAATTGTTTTTAAATTTCTTTTTCGCTTCACTTCACTTACCGGCATTTGTACTGGCAAGGCCACTGCACAGCAGGCAAATTAGCATGGCTATGGAGTTGAGCCACAGCCGGCTGTGTCGACTATTGTTGAACATTCTCGTGCAGTGCGGGAATTGGTTACTTAGGGCCTGCTGACGCCGCGCGTGCTGCATGCTGGAGGAACGCCTGTAAGGAATGGAGAGAATGAAAGGAAATGCGGATTAGAAGAACCAAACGTAGGCGTACTTAAAAACAGCTGTAAGATATTTATTTGAAATTAATTTTATTTATGCTGCATGGTGTTTTACTTTCNTCTGGCGCCGCGCGTGCTGCATGCTGGAGGAACGCCTGTAAGGAATGGAGAGAATGAAGGGAAATACGGATTAGAAGGATTTTAAAATAACCAAACGTAGGCGTACTTAAAAACAGCTGTAAGATATTTATTTGAAATTAATTTTATTTATGCTGCATGGTGTTTTACTTTCAGTTGAATGCCTTGCAAAAGATTTTGCCTTCCAAAGAAAACGAAGAGTTGAAATTATCCAACTGACCTCGAAACCAAATGCAACGCAATCAAAAGAGAGACTGTAGCTAATATAATTTTAACCTCTTTTTACCGGCACGTATGCATAGCACATCAGCTCACATACATACATACATANCAAACGTAGGCGTACTTAAAAACAGCTGTAAGATATTTATTTGAAATTAATTTTATTTATGCTGCATGGTGTTTTACTTTCAGTTGAATGCCTTGCAAAAGATTTTGCCTTCCAAAGAAAACGAAGAGTTGAAATTATCCAACTGACCTCGAAACCAAATGCAACGCAATCAAAAGAGAGACTGTAGCTAATAAAATTGTAACCTCTTTTTACCGGCACGTATGCATAGCACATCAGCTCACATACATACATACATATGAGTACATACATATGTACGTATGTATATACGCTTATGCGAAGTTTTTTCGTTGGCAGTTGGCAGTTGGCAGTTGGCAACAAACATATTGAACTTTCCGCAGCGAACTATGTATAAAACAAACCAAACAGCCAACAGCTGGAGCAGCATGAAAAAAATAAAAGAAATAAAAAGAAAAAAATTTAAAAACCAACAAAGAAACGTCAAACAAATATTGCAAGGCAAATAAAGAAACCGCCGCAGAAAAAAACTCAAGCACGCAAAAAGTCTTCAAGTCTCAACTAACATTGTTTGCACAGGTTGTCACTGTCTCGTCTACTAGTCAGCGCTTGCGTAATTCACTTTCTTTGCAAATTAAAGTACAACATTGCTTGCCGGAGTTGAAAAAACATAACCACAAGAAGTCGAAAAAGTCAAATAAAGTACAGGCAAATGCTCGCATACACGGAGTATCTATGGCGCTACCCTCCAGTGATGGAAAAGTAGGCACAACAGTAGTGCCATTTTTGGCACTTTCACTCAGTTTTGGTACAATCATATATTATACAAATTTAGCCAGTATATAACAAACAATCATATATGACTCATAGATTGGAAAAGTCAAAATTAAAATAACCCAAAATTTAAAATAAGCGTCATTATATAAAATCAATAAAAATTATTCAATGTAAAGAAGAAAAGTCAAAACTGGTCAAAATGTCACACTGCTATTATTTCGCACATAGGTATTTATGTATGTGTGTAAACATTTCCGAGTAGCTATATTTCAGTGCTTTTGCCCTTTTTTACTCTAATAATTCAATGAAATACATTAAAAATAAGATTTCTAAAAATACATACTTATGTGGTTCCTAAAAAAGCCTTAAAAGAAAGCACTTTCAATTTTGTGGCACTTTCATCTTCCTTTTGGCACTATTTTTGCAGTCCATTTGGCACATTTATAAATTTGGGAATTCCATCCCTGCTACCCACAGACAATGACGGCTATGTTCGCAAAAGAAGACTTCAACCGCACGTGGAATCCGCGAAAAGAAGAGAAGAGGCGTTAAAAAACGCGGACAAACAAAAGTAGACACAGNCATATGAGTACATACGTATGTACATATGTATATACGCTTATGCGAAGTCTTTTCGTTGGCAGTTGGCAGTTGGCAACAAACATATTGAACTTTCTGCAGCGAACTATAAAACAAACCAAACAGCCAACAGCTGGAGCAGCATGAAAAAAAAATAAAACAAATAAAAAGAAAAAATTTAAAAACCAACAGAGAAACGTCAAACAAATATTGCAAGGCAAACAAAGAAACCGCCGCAGAAAAAACTCAAGCACGCAAAAAGTCTTCAAGTCTCAACTAACATTGTTTGCACAGGTTGTCACTGCCTCGTCTACTAGTCAGCGCTTGCGTAATTCACTTTCTTTGCAAATTAAAGCACAACATTGCTTGCCGTAGCTGAAAAAACATAACCACAAGAAGTCGAAAAAGTCAAATAAAGTACAGGCAAATGCTCGCATACATTGGGTATCTATGGCGCTACCCACCAGTGATGGAAAAGTAGGCACAACAGTAGTGCCATTTTTGGCACTTTCACTCAGTTTTGGTACAATCATATATTATTCAAATTTAGCCAGTATATAACAAACAATCATATATGACTCATAGATTAGAAAAGTCAAAATTAAAATCACCTAAAATTTAAAATAAGCGTCATTATATAAAATTAATAAAAATTATTCAATGTAAAGAAGTATAGTCAAAATAGTCACCCTGCTATTATTTCGCACATAGGTATTTATGTATATGTGTAAACAGGTCCGAGTAGCTATATTTCAGTGCTTTTCCCCTTCTTTTACTCTAATAATTCAATGAAATACATTAAAAATAAGATTTCTAAAAATACATACTTATGTGGTTCTTCAAAGGCCTTAAAAGAAAGCAATTTCAAATTTTGTGGCACTTTCATCTTCCTTTTGGCACTATTTTTGCAGTCCATTTGGCACATTTATAAATTTTTGAATTCCATCCCTGCTACCCACAGACAATGACGGCTATGTTCGCAAAAGAAGACTTCAACCGCACGTGGAATCCGCGCAAAGAAGAGAAGAGGCGTTAAAAAACGCGGACAAACAAAAGTAGACACAGACATGCTAATAAGTGGCGGAAAACGAAGGTGTGCAAAATGTGCACATTTTGAGAGCGAAAAAGTAATTACGTATTTAAAAAGCAAAATCATGTTAAAGTGACTTAAATAAAAAAACGAAAGTCAAGTTTTTAACTAAAAAGAAGTCTGTGGCATCAAAAACAAAGAAATGGTGTTGGAGGCGAATATATTGACAAACAATGCTGGATAGCGGCCAGTAAACAATACTTTAAATTATACGAATAATTCGAATGTACTTAATTTTTATACTTTCGCTAGAAGGAGACAACCGGACGAGCATAATGGNCGTATTTAAAAAGCAAAATCATGTTAAAGTGACTTAAATAAATAAACGAAAGATTCAAGTTTTTAGCTAAAAAGAAGTCTGTGGCGTCAAAAACAAAGAAATGGTGTTGGAGGCGAATAGGTTGACAAACAATGCTGGATAGCGGCCAGTAAACAATACTTTAAATTATACGAATAATTCGAATGTGCTTAATTTTTATACTTTCGCTAGAAGGAGACAACCGGACGAGCATAATGGTCAACGCTTTGTAAACCATTAAGATATGCCACCTTTTTAGAAACGATCTCCTCCTATCAAGAATAGCCGTTATGCTGTTAAACTATGCCCATCTTTTTTAAACTCAAAAATTCTATGACCAAGATAGTTGTTTTCGGGGAGAAATATAATAGGTCTGTATCAAAGCTACGTGAAGTATTTGCTATGGAGTATCTACTGTGGTCGTAAAGCCCCATAAGAAATGGCGACAGGCAGCTACCGCCCCAGGGTTTGGCTTTCTGTGCTTATGGGGAAATTATTTCGCATTTTTCGAGCGGAAGTCTGTGCCAATAGCCTTTGCGCAGTAATTAACCCACGTAGGAATTACAGGCTGCAACAAAGGCCCTTTTATTCATTGAGGTTAAGTCTTCTATAGTATAAAATAGAGGAGCATGAGATGAGAGAATTTCTCTGGCATTGTACCAAAGGCCGTCGCCTATTTAGCTAAGGGCTTATTGGCAAGAAGAGTAAGTCAGGCTTATAACAGGCATTCTTACAGGGCACTGCAAATTAAGAAGCCAACTACATAAATTATGGATCTAGTCAAATGATCTCGGTGGCCAAAGAAACACCTATAATCGCAGCGGAGACCTAAAGAGCATTCTTCGCGGTGCGATGCATTGACACAGTAAATGCTGAAGGGGTTCTATTTCTTTCTGATTTTTATAGATTTTACAGAAATTTGTTTTGTAAGACTCCGAGTTTTACCGTCATATAACTAGGAGTCCAGCGCCCTGTGTGTAGTCCAGCGTGTGTGTATGGTTTGATGAGCCTAAACATTCTCCGTTTACTTCGTTTCTCGATTTTCTCTTTTACTGTTCATAGGTGCTTTGGCCTTCTCCTTAACTTGTGAGTTCTTTTTTCAGAAAAATTTTAAGTTGCCTACTGCGGACTTAAGACACCCTAGATTCGAGGGAACAAAACCACAAGTCGGAGATAATAAAACTATAGTTTTGGTTCCAATATATTAAATATCTATAATCATTTATAATATTGAATGCTTTTTAAGCTTTTCTACGATAAGTTGAGGGAAAAGGCATATCAACTACCTGACGGTAGAGATCAGTGTCGCTAAGGGTAACAATTTAAAACCGCAAGAAAAAGGAGGCACGTCGCATTTAAGACAACAGCGGACTGCATGATTAATACAGGAGCTTTTAGAAGCTATTCTTTGCCTCAGAACTGAGTTGCAAATATTATTGAAGGTAGCCATCTTTTTCTAAATTACACCCACGGTAAATCCCAATTACCAAACAAATGTTTCAGAGACACCACCAGATTATCCGGTTCTCAACGCCATGAAGAACGGTGAAGAACGGTTCCCTCTTTTTCCAATACTCAAATAAGGCCAAACTTTCAAGCAGATAATAAAAGTGCGATTGAAATGTAGACAATTGGTCGAAGGTGTCAGCAATATTTATAATATTTTGAAAATGCGACAAAAAATGACGTAAGAACAGTTAAGAAAAAGTCTGAAAGTGTTGCGTGTAGTTAAAAATGACAAAACTGACAAATTATGTCATCCGCTCTTGCAAAAAAAAAAAAATACCTTCACCAAATTAT